CAAAATGATTTATTTCGTAACCATTTAACCTTGTTTAACGATAGGCTATCATTAGGCTGATCTAAAACTGGCTTTAATTTGTAAAGTTATTTTTCACGTTAACAAAATTAGATTCATAATATGTTAACAACAATATATATAAAAAATTATGAAATATCAATAACTTTAATCATAACGTTTTTAGTAACTATTCAACGACACGACATTCCATCAATGAGTTTCGTGTTTCCAAACACTTATTATTTATTCAACTAAATGAAATTGAAAAATTAACAAACAACTCTGCTTTGATATTTTTTATTGTTTTGTTAATGATGCAAACCTTAATTTTGAAAGGTCCTAAATTACAATATTCAAAACGCAAAACAAGAAATTCATTTATTTAAAGCTATTTTATTTCATCAGGAACACTATGTTTTATAGCATAAAAAGATTTCCATTTAGATCCAAATGTCTAAAAACATAAAATTTGAATTTCTTTCTAGTGCATTTTAGACTGAAAGATATGCAACAAATAGAGAGTAAACAAATGTTCTGAGTCTCTTGTCGGTACGATTCTTGGTCTTGTTTAACTAAAAGGCGTTTAAACGCATTTAAAATTGTATTAAAATACCTGTTATAGAACACAAAAGAGAAACAGAGAGGCCGAACGTTCCGTAACTCTTCACTAAAGATTTCGTTTTCAGACCTTTATCAAATGATGCGTACATCTCAAAAAACATATGTCAAGTTCCACCATGTCAAAACAACCTTACTGAAGTCCCTTTACATCATAAACAATATTTAAGTCTTTTTTCTTCCTTATATATGCGGGTTTAAATTTATACAAATGTTCTTTTCAGAATTATAGCATTATGTCCTGACAACTGAAAAACGACGACAGTATATTCTTCATTACCCATCATTTCATTTTAAAAATGAGAATTGTCCTAATGACAGTCATTATCTCTGTAACAATTCTCATCATATGTGACAGACGACATAGACTAAATACATCTTTGGAGAGAAATAAACTTGTACGCTTACTAAAAAGATAAAATGGCACGTATTCTCCGTTAAATGCTCACAGTTATCTGCTAGTTTACTACATTTAAAAGTAATCTTAAATGTCAAACTGACGAACTGTAAAAGAAAATTGTATTTAATTGAATATATTAATAGTTTCGCGGTTGTATAATAAGCACAGTCGTTACTTCTATTGATCATTGCTTCAAAGGAATGTTCACTTAAATACTGCTGCGAGAATATTTGTCTTTTAAGGTAAATGACTTTATTTTGTGACAAAACATAGCCTTTTTGGTTTCATGATAATAAACGAAATACTAAATGGCCTTTGACTAAAAAGACAGATTAATGTTTTTTTCTTTATCAAATATTTAAAGTATTTAATAGTTTCTTTAAGGGGATTTTTTAACTTTTATATTTAAAAACGACCAGGCTCACATAAATCCAACTGTTCCTGAAAAAAAATGTGTTTAAGAAAAAAAACATTGAATATTTTATGAAATTAATGTAAAAAGAATGAAACAATAATTGCAGGTTAATTCTGTAAATCGTTTTGTCCTAGAGGTTAAGACATAAATATCTTTTAATGGGCATCTTTATGTACTTCCTCCTTTCTAAAACGTTTGCTTTTCCCAATATATCTAACTGAAGTGATTTTGATATTTGACATTAAACGCATCCTTGTTTTATTAGCAGTTTTCAAGGATCAAAAGTATTTTTAAATGAATCTCATGTGCTATGACAAAAAGAACATATCTCTTCTCATTCCTGACAAGAAAATACATAGTATTACACTTTATCCATATGATTAAAGACTAGTATAAAATAAATAAATCTTTTGTTATAATGATGTTGTCACTGTCATTGATATACACAAATTTTTAAGACCCTGATGGATCAGATTTTGCGTTCAAAGTAGCAAGTATGTTATAACTAACATATGCTTCTAAATTGTTTAGTAAAACGTTTACAGTCCTTGATAAACAGTAGATAATCATCACAATGCCCTCCCATCTAGTAAATATATCATCAACTATTGCTGCTGTTGCCTGTTTTGGCAATTAGTACAATTAGGTATTAAGTATATCTTGTATGTAAGTCAAAATTCTACTTTGTTTACATTTGTTTAATTTATGACAAATAACTTCACATGCATCGCTACCTTCTTCTCGTGAAAATGATAAAACATGCTCTAACACCATTATTTAAATGTTATAAAACAATGTCTGCTATTTTTAAAGAAGAAATATTTAAAAAGAAGATTCCGAGGCATTATGACGTGCATTTAAAGACCACTAAAAATCAAAGATTGCTCAGGATTGTAGGGCTTATTTGATGTAGAACAAAAATGATACATTATACGCACTCCCCTCAACAAAAGGGTAATTTACCGTTCACAAAAGAAGAGAATAAAAGAAAGAAAAGAGAGAAAAAAAACAACAAAAAACAACAACAGCATATCATTGTTCCAAGGAATGTTGATATACAAGAATCATTCCTTGTTGATACAATTTATATTGTTATGCCTTTTAGAAACATTATATGACATTAGTTGACAGATGTGTCATTTGTGTCTGCAATGGTACATCGATGAAGCAACTTGTTTTAACATCCCCCCGAATGATAAAGGTCGTTGACTTCAAACCACTTGCCCCTTACCGCTGTTGGTTCGAATCCCGACATGAGAGGAAGCTATCCAGCTACTTTATGGAACGTCGGTAGTTCTACGCATCCCTACCCCTAAAAACAATGTAACAACATTCGTCAGCTAGGTAAAATTGTAAATTACTAAACAACGTTTACGATGCTAATAATGCACACACGTAAATCTCTTCAATATTTCCTCAATGTAACGAATTTAATATTTATTTTTTAGTGTTTTCATGTTTGAAAATGACATTAAATAAATATCTATTTGAGAGAAAACAAATGAAAGCAAATGCCACATTGATATCAAATAGAAATATATTTTTTGTATCATGTTAATTTCCGGTGATTATTAGATGTTGTTTTTATGATCTCGTTTTTATTCTTTTGAGGTTGAAATAAGAGCAATTTTCATCTGAAAACGGAATATATTACAATACCCAAATTGCAATAAGGAAGTGTATTGAAAAACCCTTAAACTATTGCGATGGCCTCATTAAATCATTCAGTCGTGATAATAGGAATTTTTCCTCTACTTGACTTTGACAAATACGGGAAAAATACAGCAATTATCTTGTTCTGAGCATTTTGTTTTTGGTGCAAACTGTATTCGATTTTCAGTTTTCACAGAAATTAATTGGGATGTGTATGAAAGCATTGTTGATGGATATGTCGTAAAAATGCTTATTTTTTAAAGCAAAATTGTTTTTCTTGCATATCAGACAGGAGTATCTACTATTTACACAAGTGCTAGGAAAAAACCTACATTAACCCCCTTGTAAGACAGGTCACGTGCTTTTAATGACGACTTTCTCGCCATCTTTTTATGAATGAATTGCGCACTTGGGAAGACGTCATTTTTCCATTATGAATGACATTGTAGATTCATACGTTACTATAGGAAAAATGAAAATTTTAGTTTTCGTAATTTCTTTCCTAAATATGTTAATATTTAATATTTAAGAACAAGATTCAAACACCCGCCGTCGTCGCTCTTGAGTAACTGTTTAGTCGAAACTCGGCAGTATCGTTATCGCCGAAAACAGTTACCTTCAAGCTTAATATTCCGGTCGGTACTTGTAGCCGATTAAAGATCCTGATAATATTCAAGGGTTCATACCTTCGTATTCGCTACTTCTTTCTGTTGTTTTATCCCCTCTGTTATAAACGTATAATAATCATTACATGTTTTTTCTTTGTTTTATAAATTAAACAAGACAATCTAATAAATAATTAATTTATTTATTAAAAAAGTAACTACAAAAACCTCGCTAAGGGTAACTACTGTAATATTGCTAAGGGAAACTGCAATAATCTCAAAATAATTACAAAATGCTCGCTTAAAGTAACTACAAAATTCTTGCTCTGTTTAACTCCAAAACTATCGCTAAAACTACAACAATCTCGCTTGAAGTACCTACAATAATCTCGCTCTATGCTACTACAATGATCTTGCTCAGAATAACTACAAATTAAAGATAATTCTGATAAGGACATAACGTCATTAGCCAAATGAAACAAAATTATATCAATTTGTCATTTTGCTATAACTTACAAGGTTATTGATTCAATTTAGGCATAAATATTATTTTTATTTACATTTCAACAATTTAATTAGCGATTCAAACCTTCATGGGCAAATATCGTGCAAAGCTTCGTGTAGACTGAAGTGTATTTAGCTCACACGTCATACCAATAATGTCAATTGTCCCATATTGCGTTTTGATAAAACATTGAATAAATTTAGATTACGATTTTTTATTCAAACTGTATTATTGTTATTAACTTTGATAATGTGTTGATTTAAGGGGAAATTGGTTTATAATAGTTTTCCGTCACAGCGTGGAAAATCGGTTGCATGAAAAATATAATGAAAAATATGACAAAGAAAAAGTCTTTTGCCAAGTTACATTTGCCTTAAATTTGATTAGCTTTTTTTTGATTGCATATAAACGGTTTATACTACTTACGGAGAAATAACTGATTGTGCTTTATTTATTTTAAACATGAAATAAATATTTCAATTTATATAAAACAAATTGTGACAATGTTGAACATATTGCAAAAATTTATTAAACATATTTTATCCACGCAAAATATTTTAAAATTTGTCTCATCAATCTATCGTTTTATCATTAAAATTGTATTACTTAAAACATGTAAAGTTTCTAATATTAAAACAAGATTAATGTTGTACCCACTCAAAGTATCATATGAAGTACTGTATTGTCCATATTTAGCCAAGACATTCGGAGCTTTGCATTTCCAATATCTCTGTGAGTAAGACGTCATTGTAACTAAAATGGAACCCTATAATGTGCCAGTAACATCAGTGGGAAGGAAAGGTTTTTTTGATAAAGCTTCGCAGTTGCGTTCATACTAAATAACAATCGTTCTGTGTACTAGAGAGTATTAAAAACGTCGACGAATCGGAATGCTATGTACTGTTAATTCTGTCGTGGCCACGGAAACATAGGTCTAAGTTCAGCGTAAAAATATAAAGTGTTTTATTCATATCGTTGTCGCGTATTTTGAAATACTCGAATAAATATTCTAGCAATTTCAAATCGTATTTGCTTAAATATTTCGTTATTATAATACTAAAACTGAAATCTATTAAATGAAAGAATTTTCAGTAGTACTGATATAAATTTGTATTAAACTTTGAGGAACAGAAACAAAACACAATGGAGGTACTGAATAACTTTTCGGTCGGAGTTGAATTTGTCTTAAGTAATTCCTCGAATTATACAAACACATCGCATACCGAATATGAATATCATGCACTCAGTGAACCACCCTTAGAAGAACTAATACCCGTATCAATAATATATGGAATAACGTTGGTTCTCGGCATGTTGGGAAATATATTAGTGATATTTTCAGTGACAAGGTACCAGCAGATGTTGACTGTAACGAACACGTTTCTCCTAAGTTTGGCATCTGCAGACCTTCTACTTGTTATAATATGTGTGCCGGTCAAGGTGAGTTTAAATCTAGTAAAAGCAATAATAAAAATATTTATTATTATGACAATAATAAAAACTTCATATTTTTCTGTTAAAATTGTCAGGGATTTTTTAAAATTAAATTTAATGTGTTTTTATTTTTAATGGAACACGTTTCCAAATTTGCATATCGAATATTTTTTTCATAATTTCGAAATTATCCTCTGTTTGTAAATAAAAAAACTTTTAATAAATTTGAAAATTTCACAATGTTTTGTATTATTTTAGCTATTTAGTGAAAACATTTTATATATAGCTATATAAGATAACAAATTGGCAAAGGATTATATCTAAATTTTGTTCCGCTTATACATTTTTTCAGTTAACCGATTCTCTGCAGAATGTTCATATCCTTTTTATTTATCTTATGTATATATTTTAATTTGTGTTAAAAATGACTTAATTTGATTAAACTGGTGACATATAGGCCCAATGGGCCGCCCTCATATGTTATGTTATTGGTATATGCTCATGCACATCTCACAATAATAACAATTATTTTATATAGACCAAATAACATGCACCAAAATATACGAGAATTTTGTAACTAAAACTTTTTATGACATAAGCATCATCTTTTAGCTCTAAAACAATATTTACATTATTTGCGGCGACTTTGGGTCTTTATACACGTAACGTTATATTACAAAATATCACAGCATTGATTTGCCAGTCAAGTATCTGTTTTGAAAATTATTAAACTTGTATTTTGAAATCAGTTTCGTCATTTACATGCCGGTTTATATTCTTAACATTTAAATCATGGAATTAAAGCAATGTTTTAGGCTTCTCTCCTTTTTTCATCATTTTTTTTTCCAAAGTAATAAATACAAGTTATATTTATTTTTATAAATTGTGATGTATAAAATTACAATATTTAAAACATATATTATTAATGTTAGGTAAAGTAAAATTATAGTCAACAAAATTTATTAAAATACATATATATTTATAATGATACGGAATAGATAAGTTTAATATCAAAATTAATTTTATTATGCCGCTCTCGCATATATTTTTATATAATTACGGGAATGTTTGAAAAAAGGAGACATATCAAGCATGTGATTTTGAAATATTCTTATTAATTCAGGCCAAGCTTCAATAACATTGATACCATGAAGGTGCATTCAAGCGCAAGTTAAAATCATACCGAAGCAAGACATATTCAATGAAAGAAAAGATAAAAACTTTTGAGTTGTTAGTATGATAAAGGAAACATTAAACAATTTGTAAATTATTTAACGTTTATCATTCGTATAGGAATTGTAAAAAATGTTTATAATACAATATATATATTAAAAATATTCCATAGAGGTTAATCATTAAAAACAGACTAGAATTAAACTAGTATTACATAAAATTATTAAATAATATCAGTCTGCTTAATGCTTGAAATATATTTTTTGCCTAGACGGGTTTAATGTTACATTTGTTCAGTCTAAGGTAAATACCGCTCTGTAGAATAACATTTAAAGATTCTTATTAATTGCGAGATTACCGTAATTCTTATTTATTTAAGGTTCTAGAGCTAATATCTCAGCATACGATTATATTTCTTAAGTTGCACACAAAACCATTGATACATTGCTAAAGCATTCCCCATCATATTGTATTAATTGTAAAACAAAATATGCAGGTACCACATATTTTGAGTTTAAACGAGAATTAAGAACTCTCAGTGGAGTCATTTTATGAGTAACGTCATACATATTGATCTTGTCAATATTATATTCACTTTTCTTTCTTAATTTTAAAATAAAAATTTAAACGAACACTGTTCTTTTGACATGTGTTTTAGATATCACTTTTACTGTCAAACAAGAATGATTTACATGATAATTTTTTGATCTAGTCAATATCATTTACGCATTTTTTATCTTCATGAAATATGGCATACGGCTAGTCATGGCAAAGTTCCATTTAAATCATTTCTTACCTTATCTATTGAATATGATATTTTAAGTTAATTGAGTACATCTTCACATTTCATACAATACTAGACGCAAGTATTTAACTGAAATTATAAGCTAAAGCTCTTAGGAATACTTAATATTCAACACATTTGTTTTAAATTGCATTTGTCTACGAAATTGTTATAATTAAATGTCTGGGAGTATAAAATTTGTCCTATTCTGACAATATAAGAATATTATCAGGCCGTTCATCAGACTTAATTGACATCATAATTGTCAATTCTTAAAATGATAAATAGAAATTATGTAAATCACGCTTTTCCTTTGAAGGAATTATTGCACAATTAACACATTCTTGCAAGAGTAAGCTAGTTCAAAGATGTAACACTTGAATTGTGAACATTCACATGACTTCATTCTTGTCGTAGTTTTGTTACAACATGTTCATGACATTCTGTAAAAGTCATATGGCGTCTTGCCTATTGTACTGGTGGAGGTGCCTCGTTTTGTAATATATCAGGCTCGAAAGAGCAACTAAATAGAACCACGGAGATATCGTTTCGAATCTAATTTATTTGGCTGGATTTGATCCCTCAGCGGCGATGGGGAAAAAAAGCGGCGAAACAAGTTTGTATAAGATAGAAAATGTCCCCATGTAGAGAGAGGGTCGTTTTGATCTTCTTGATTGTAAATTATAGTAAAATGATGCTCACAAAATTTTATGTAAAGACCATGTAAATAGAAGTTAAACAAGCTTACATTTTTGTCTTGTTGTTTGGTATCGAATTAAAAGGTAAATAAATAATTTCAGTACAAGGTATTTAGTTACTGTTTTACGCCAAGAATTGTTTAAATTGATAACAAAGTTTACATGTACGGTTAGAAATACTTTTTTGAAACATATCAGTAATTATACATGAATATTTAAAATTACTACTTAATTGCAATATAAATATATTTTTTAATGATGCATCCACTATATTTGTTTTAAAAAAAACATCTGATATTTTTGTTTGACAATGTATCTTGGTACAAGTCAAAACTATATTCCAGATATGTTATTTTCTGTTCTGATTAATGATAATGTGAAAGACCATGGAATCGAAAAGTTTGACGTTAATTGATTGGACTAAGGTTGCACTTGAAGCCTATGATTGTATGTCTCACTGACACTGCTTAATTGTGTGGGTTTTATATTAAAGCACTGCCAACGCTACAATATACTGTTGAACTTTTACCATAAAATTTATAATATAAGGCGGGAATACAAATTTAACTTATTTGCTTCTTCTAAATACTTTTAAAATTAAAATTATTTCAACAGAGAAGACGCTATTCATAAGTATAATTTTTATATTTGATATTTGAATATAAAACATTTGATATTTGAATATCAAACATTAAATTTAAAATCTGCCGCTAAATGATAAATAAAAAGACTGTAACGGAATGGTATTTGTTCAAATCGTAACATAAAATTGCTTAAGCCCATTTCCGGTCATAGGTTGTGTAAAGGGAATGAGTAGATTAAAAATTTATACCTCAGTAATATGGTAGAAAAACAGTTTGTTAATAAGTAAATTGGTGATTTTATCCTATGTTTAGAATAACCAAAAAACTTCATATAAATAATATTGCAGGCTTATTTGAATAGATCAAATCTAAATAAAACCGGCCTATGACAACATTTTGCAATAAATGGTCTTTCTCTACCAGTAAAAATTAAATACTATCGTCTGACTTTGGTTTATCATTGACACAACTCAACAAACAAACCAAAAATGACCAATAACTGTCAATAATTGTGTGAACTGATTGTGTGAATTGCTTTGAAATTTATATTTCATGACTTGATTATTGTTCCTGGAAAAAAGATAACTTTATTAACGACGTATCATCAGAAACTGACAAGTAATTCATCATTTTTTATTCTTTGAATTGGTTGTATGACATTGTTTTTATTCCTGTTTCCACTGTAGGAGTTTTGTTCTTGTCAAAGTCATTCTATCAATTGACAGGTCTACATACAAGGTCACAATTGAGCATTTCTGTTCATTCTCATCTGATTTGTTTGAGAAAAATACGTGCTATACATTCTAATAAGAATACTGGCATGCGAGCAGTTCCCGTACAGAAGCAGTACCCGTATTTTTCATTTAAACGCTTGATTTTTACTTGCATTCTTCAAAAATTCATTTCAAATCAAGCAGATACATAAACGAGACAAAATCTAAGTGTCAGTTCGGCAGTTCGTATATAAACTCTCATTTTAAATCACTTTCACCTATTCGTCGTCAAAACGTGACCTTGTTTTCTCTGGGGGATTCCGTCTTTGCGCGCATGCGCAAAAATACTTACACGTGAGGCTTGTTAAAGGGTTTTCCACCAGTACCATCTGTTTACAATTAAGTAGGCAATGTGATGTAAACTTGTTTAATTATCAGAATGTTGACCAATTTTACTATATATAATAATTTTATGGCTTTGATGCGTAAAATATCATGCATACAAGCATGCTATTGCATGTAAATGCGTTGGGGTAACGGTACCGGGTAATTGATACCCGCATTTAGTCTACGCTCTATTTCCTGAATTACATCTATTTATCTCTTAGATAATGGTCTGTTCAACAATTGTAAATGAAAAATAGGTCCGATATAATAAAATTGTATAATTATAATGGGTTAGATTTTATGTACGGGAACTACTTCTCTTCATACAAAATAATGGATAATTTCGGTACCCCATATGAGGCCTCATAACTAAGGGTTGTTCTATGTTTAGAACATGATGGAATTTCCATGATTTGTGTGACGAGCTGAATATTGATGTGTAACAGTCAAATTTTGGTGAGTGAGCGTAATAAAAAATAATGTTTAAGTAACTATGATTTTTGTACGGGAACTGCTCGCATGCCAGTACATTGAACTTTGAGCTGTTAAAGTACATTTGAAATCTCTTGTAGGCACCTGATGAAAAACAATAATATAAATGAAGGCCAAACGTTATCTGTAATCAAAAGGATTAAAGTGTTTCTTAATGTAAAGTAAACATTTTGATAATAGTGACAAATTGCACATACAAATAACATTTTCTTAAAAGTCAAAATTTCATTGAAACTGACAGCTCATGTAGCATTTCAGGAAGTACAACTATCATCTAAGAAAGTTACACAAAGACAAGCAATGTGATTGTTTTTCTAATGTTTGATATGTTTAAGACAAACCTGATATATATTTTTTTATTCAAAACATATTCATATACTATTAAGTATTTGATAATAAGATGTTTTATATTTATATATCCAATCAATACTGTTTTTGCTATACAACTATGTTTTGTTTTGTTTTGCAGTTTGCTGCATTTTTCTCATACGTGTGGCGCTTTGGAGAATTCCTCTGTAAAACGGTGCACTATGTTCAGAATGTATCTACCATTTGTTCCGTGGCAACCCTCACTTTTATGAGTTTAGAAAGGTACAAATTATTTATAGATATTGTTGATATTTTTCCCTTTCATGACTTTATAATTTAAAAAGACACGTAAAAAAAGTTAAAAATAATTTATAAATCTACTATGATACTGACCTTTGTATTTAATTGTATATAAAATTGTAAACGTGAATTAAGTTAACGTGCATGCAATTTACTTATCTTTAATTCAACTTAAAAATCATGTGTAATGACCCGCTTATAAACGTAATTAAAATAGTTTAATGGATTTTTCAATATTCAAAGATATTCCATTAATGTCATATTGTCTTTTTGTCATCTGCTTAACACGTGTTAATTAATTGTGTCTTTTTATTTTAGGTATTATGCGATTGTTCACCCTATGAAGGCTAAATATTCGTGTACGGTTGGCAAAGCACGGCGGGCTTGCATTTTTCTGTGGGTGCTTTCATTTATATTGGCTCTGCCAATCTTGATTGGAAGGGTAACGAAGTTTCTTTGACTTTTCAGAATAAGTAATACATAATATCTCGTTTGTATACACAAAGAACCAATATAGATTGGACGCCTGCAGTCATTTGGTTAGAGTCATTGACTCCGAATCACTTGTCCGTGGTTGTCTTTTGATAATAAGTAGTGTGAAAATAACCAAGTTAGCGAGCGGAACGCCGTCGGCGCTACGAAACGTCATTGGTTCTACTCAGGCGACCACTCGTGTCTGACATAATGCACGGAGGGGTATAAAATGTCTTTAAGTCCCAGTACAGACTATTTGACCTTTACAATGTTGGTTAGTTACTATACAAAACAGCCAAACAAACAGAAAATAAACCATGATATTAAATTCATGCAAAACTTTATTCAAGCACATCAACATTATCATTTTCAGGTACACATCACTGTTGGGCTATACAGGAAGGCAACTTGGTGTATAAAGGAATGGAAGAATCCGACTTACAGCATCTTATATGAAATATACATGTTTTGTATTATTCTCGCATTCCCTGTTCTAATAATGAGTTTTGCATACATCAGAATATGTCAGGAATTGTGGTTTATGTCACAGCACAGATCTATCATGAGGAACGACTCGTAAGTATTTCCCATATTACCTTTATGTAAATTCCTACAAAATTGTCATAACAGTTTAAAAAAGCGATAGATAAAATTATTCAGCGTAAGTGTAAACTTTTCAATATTAATTGAATTATCCAAAAGATTTTTTTTTCTTTAATTGCATTGTATGTTTTAATATCACCTTTAATCTCAAAGCAAGGTTATGCAATATGCCGTTATATGCATTATTATAAAATATGATAAAATATAACAGAATATGGATTGCTCTCACATGCTTATTAAGATTTGTGTTTTGTTTTTTGCATTTTCTCATTATAAAAACATGTTTATAATTATACATTCATTAATATGTATAAAAGTTGAATTAAATGGAAACGTTCCAAACCAAACGTGTTAGGCTTAGGGAAACTCTATGTATGCAAACATTTGTAGTGAGGCAGATGCTTTATGAAAACTCTACATTGATAAACAACCAACGATAAAAGATTGACTGGGTCGCGATCTTTAGCTTGCAACTTACTTCTGTCCTACGTTCATAAATAGACCTGACTAAGTCAAACAAAGTTTTCAGTTTTACTACTGTTGCCTATGGGTAAAACATAAATAAGACTGTCCCACTCTTTTTTATAAAATGAAAGTTACAGGTACATTCCGACAGATAATTACACACATTTCGCAAGGCCTAGTGAGTTATTTATCGTTCATGTGAAGTAAATTATAAAATTGAAAGGAATAATGAGAAAATGTTAACTTTTATTTACTTTCACCAGTGCACTCTATATCTACCCATTGATGGGCATAATGTCATTTTAATTTCTATTTCATCGTTGACAGAAAGAGCCATAAAAAGAGAGTTTATAAAATAGCATATACCTTAACGTAAAAATCTATGTTTCTATTTCATTTTGCAATTGAACATCGGTGCAAAAAGGTTCATTCATAAGCTTCGTATATCATTTTACTGTATTAAAGCAAGTGATAAGTAATTTACCAGGAACGAAATACTTAGCATAGTTAATCTTGACTAAATCTTGAATAAAGAAAAAAAATGCGATCACGCAAAGCAATCAACGAGCGTGATAAAACCAATAAAAGCGTAGTTTGTCTTTTCGAAAAGTGATATTGACACATTTTATTTCATATTTTTACATAAGGGTCGTTGACTTTAAAGCACTTGCCGGTCGACACCCGCCAATGATAATCTCATGAAACAAATTAGTAATATACAATGTAGTTGTTAATTGGTGTTGTTTTTTTATGTCATGCAAGAAAGCTTTCTATGTACATTATGGAACGTTTGTGGTTGTACTCAAGTGCTCATTTGTGCCTGTAATAATACATTAACGGAGGGGCACATGAGGACACCCTTTACCAGTAAAGCTAGAAAATTGCCATATGACATCTCTTATGTTGAAGCTACCTAATACCCAACAGAAATGTGTATAAATCCATTAAAGTACATATTGCAGTTTAAATATTCAGTAGAATAGAATTCAAAATGCAAAACTCCATGTCCTAAATATGAATGTGACAATAAAAGATGATAATCTCATGAAACAAATTAGTAATATAGTTGTTAATTAATGTTATCAACTTTAATTCACTTTTGAACATTCTGAAATTATTTGTACAAAAACATGCATATATAAAAAAACATTAATGAACTTTAAAATTAATTTGGCGCAATCGCTCACTACATTCGCATTACAATATTACAATAAATGCAACTTATAATTGTCTATTTCAGAAGACTGTCCTGTATATCAAAAATAAGCAATTCCAAAAGTCAGCAAGTGACAGCATTGAAAGTCAAGTTTGTTGATGATGACAATACTAAAAGACAGGTACGTGGCATGGAATTACTAGTTGTTAAATTTAAAGATATACGATGCTCATCCTTGCGTAAAAATATAAGAAATTCATTGAAATCTACGAAATTCTTAGCAAATATGTCTAATTTAAATAGAATAATGAATAAACAATGTCTTGGAAGCTGCGTCCCCTTTTACAAATCAAGTAAAGTTGGTCTATTATTAAACAAAAAACTGCCATTTTTTTAATTACGCTATATATTCATATTGTTACCACCTATAGTATGTAGAATTTCAAACATAGCATAGCTACATGGTAAGAAATCAAAAAACATGTTAATTTTATATTTATAAAGAGACTGTGTAGCAATTACCAATATTTATAATATCAAATTTGAGCGTAGTAAATTTTTAAACATTCTAATATTCTACATACACAAAAGTCATATAATGTTGTATTACATCTTAAAATAACAGATAAAGCAGGCGGCGTTTAAGAGACATAAATATCAATTTAATTCATATCAAGTTATATTTAATATTAATTACATCTTTAAACTTCTCAGGTCTTACTTTTCAAGTAAAATCGATGAAAAAAAAATAAATTTCAACAATACTTAAGTCTATAGAAATTAGTTATAGTCAATGGTTAATAAAGTGGTTCTAATCTATTTTTGTTTCTAATAAGTTGGAAAAAAACACTTGTTGCAACGTTGTACTATTTTTTATTAATTGAGTAATTTGTCATTTGTTATTATTCATCTCATTTATTTTTTCAGGTGATTAAAATGCTGGTCGCAATTATTCTCATATTTGTCATCTGCTGGGCACCTATTACTGTAAATAACCTCCTGGTTGCCTTCAAAATACTTCCAGGACTTCATATTGGATCAGTGAAATATATGAGAGAAGCATTCCATATCATGTCGTACGCTAACAGTTGTGTAAATCCTATTGTTTATGGTTTCATGTCAAAGAACTTCAGACAGACCTTTGTAAAATCACTTTGCGGTTGTCTACGTGGGAAGGAATACATTCGACGGCAGGTGTTTAAAAGTCAGACAGAGGTTTCTTACATGACGGAAGATGCATACCCCGCTCGGTGGACTACTCAGGAACAAAAGGGAATGTTATCAAATCAATCAACAATCGATGAGGACTTTATAGACATTGATGATAACAAAGAATGCTCAGAAAACGTTTTAAGCACAGGAATGTGAGCATACACGTTGTAAATACCCGTTAAAGTATATATTTTGTAGACTAAATGGACATACGTACTATATGAACCGTCAGAGAATCACTTAATATAGAATCAGCACCAATAAGTAAATTACTGTATCATTTTTGTTTATCACGTTACATTGCAAAACGTAACTGTTTCAGCTTCAACGATATACGTTAAAAAGTTTTAAACACATCTGCAGATGTTTCTGAATTCAAAATTTCACCATTTTCTTGTTAAATGTTGAATTCTGCTTAAGCCGGTGCTAGGGGGCGTGGACGGTAACTTGCACTTTCCAGTACCATCCATGATCAATCAAACCGAGCCTGCAACATTTTCTATTTTGTTGTGTTGGACTTTCTCTAGGTATTCTGTTTTTCTCTATTTTAAGTAGTTTATATAAATAATACTATAATAATGTATTTAGTATTAATTGAAACCTTCATTAAAACACTCTTGCTTGTTTAAGTTATTTTCGGTTTCACGTATTTTTCTGATTCGGCAATTAATCGAGAAAATATTGTAAGTCGACAATGCACAAAATAATGACATGTTTAATTTGTCATTGCCAACACATTGCAGCAGCATGAACTCAAGCAAAAGTCATCACTTGATAATTTTTAATTAAATAAGTGTATTGTTAAAGATATGAAGATAACCTTGTGCATTTAAGACTTGTGAAAAAATGTTTGTTAATTGGATTAAGATTAAATGATCATTGTCATGGTGTTTGCCCCTTGTATATTTGTTCATCATATCGCCCTTTGGAATAAATTGTGTAAAGGAATTAATTGTTCTTGTTATGAATTCAATTAATACGTAGTTTTCAATTTGAATTTAAATATAGAGCAATTATATGGTTTATTGTCTGAACTGTATAGCTCAATAAAAATATATATTTATTACATTTCTTTATTTTCTCTAAAAAGGATAGAACTTGATACCATAGCATCCCCTCATTTCAATAAATATAGAATATTTTATTCTAAAATATAAAATACTTTCACGTTGGTTGATTGACTAAATATTTTTATCATTTTTTAATAAATCTATTTTTAGTGTGGGTGGTAGTAGGTGGGCAGCGTTATGTGCTTTTTTGTTTTGGTTTTTATTCTCATATTTGTGAGTTTTGGTGTTTGGTAGTAAAGAATAAGTCATATCATGTTGATTATAAAGTCACATTGTTGAACCAAACATCCGTACATTATACATGCAGTTCAATCTTTTAAGTAAGCCTATTGTGCGATCATTTGCAGTTTTAAAAAATCACTTTTTAACAAGCAGTTGTACATAAAATCTGTCATTTGCCTGATTAATAATTACTAAGCCTGTTGCAGCATTTTAGTTAAAAAAGTCACTACATAATTTTAATTTTAATTATTGATATTGATAATAATTAGAAGAGGAGAAGCACCAAGAGCAATTGGACATACTATTAAACGATAATTGCAGAATAATTTTGATTGTGTGTCCATTGATGATACGGAATGAAGGATACAATATCGCTCGCACATCCTATCACCAGCTTAAGATGTATTTAATATTCAACAATTCAAAATAATGTAATCTAGGGATCACAAGGAACATAAATATACATGATCACTGGGAACTTCATATAGCTAGGGGGAAGCAAAATATCCCTTTAATCCGATGAACAAACAGCAGACTTGAATTCATGATTTCTTAAATCAAACAGTTTATGTACTTTTTACCATGTTCTAAAAGATTCATTCTATTTTATCACATTCTATTTTTGTTCAATAGAAGAAGTATCTTATATGTATTTGGTTGCTTTGGTATCAGACAAATTACAGCAAAAATAAGACGTGTCAAGATAACTTTCAAAAGAGACGCTTATTTCTTATCTCCACTCTGGGTAATATTTTCATTAATTAAAAAAAATTCCTAGTTTATTACGTAACGTGATAGCTAACATTTGATAAAAGTATCTGATTTCCCAACGGGTTTAAGATTGACATATTAATTTTATTGTCTGTCAAATTCAGTAACTGAAATTAGCTTTTAAAAGTATTACACTCAATCCGATTAGATAATTCTAAGGAAGAATTTTTTAATAGAATTGGATAATGCTTGAATTAGACAATGATATAATAAACATGCGTGTACGTGTGTGTGTGTGTGTGTGTGTGCGCGTGCGTGCGTGCGTGCGTGCGTGCGTGCGTGCGTGCGTGTGTGTGTATGTGTGTGTGTGTGTGTGCTCCCCAAGTAAATGAATGCGTGTGCCCTAAACGAGATCGGAGGTAATGAAGCCTGCATATCACAGACAAGACGTCAAAAGACATATATAAAAAGCAGGCAACATATCCTAAGGGTGTTTATACAGTATTTAAGTAGGCAACATATCCTGAGGGTGATTATACAGTATTCAAGTAGGCAACATATCCTGAGGGTGATTATACAGTATTCAAGTAGGCAACATATCCTGAGGGTGTTTATACAGTATTCAAGTAGGCAACATATCCTGAGGGTGATTATACAGTATTCAAGTAGGCAACATATCCTGAGGGTGATTTTACAGTATTCAAGTAGGTATACAGGAACCAACCAAGTTGAAAAGGCCAAATAGAAGAAACTAAAAATACCACATAACATGATGTATACACAACAATTATGTACGATCCGCTGAACGATCTTCACATTTGTGCAAAAAGCTTAATATTGATAAAAAAAAAAAATACAACTTATAAATTTAATAAATATGTAATAGAAAGAGCACCGAAACACGAGGTTATCTGATTTGTACGAGGGGGCGTAGCCCCCGAGTATAAATCAGATTACCGAGTGCTTTTGGTGTTCTTTCTCTTTTGTATCATAGTCAAACATGACAGCACGTTCCCTATTGTCATAATACGAAACCCCAGAAAAAAATGAACCAATGAACGAGCATTTGAATATGACATTTCTGCCCCTTTCCCTTTCTCTGCCGTCACAATATGTAAACCCCAGCAAAAATGAACCAATCAACTGGCATTATCTGGAGTGCGGGTAACTGATACCTGCACTCCAGTTACCGCACTGTGCATGTATATGTATACGATTTAACTCTGACACTTTTTCAACAGAAAGGTCCCCAAACTATGATACAATTACAAAATACATTTTGTCTTTACACAAAACCTTGTGATTTTCCAGTATCAAAAACTTAATATAATTTTAATTTGAAATGTCAGTATCACTAAATTTGTTCAATGTGTGTTTAAATGATTGTGTTGATGGTCTGTTTGAACACAAATACTTTGTTGAGGTCACAAAATCATTCTGTATATCAGTCATTAGTTGTTAACGTCATAAGTCATGCCTTGCGTATTGTAGATAGTATCTATGCGTGCAATGGTTTACAGCACTTTTAAGTGTTGGGAATCAAAAACCACTCAAGCCGATGCTAGGGGCGTGAGGGATGATTCTTCATTATCCTTCATATACAGACTCAAACAGAGTATGCAACTGTAATTATGCTGTTTACATGCTTATAAAGGGATCACTTCTTTCCAGATTTATTTACATAAAAAAGGCTCAATGTTACTATAAGATTTGTGATTCACTTCGAGCTAGAATCCATACTATGCTTTATGATAAAACAAACATAATCACATTATATACATATGAATTTGCCAGCTTTCCGTTTTTTATTCTGACTTCATTAATCACATTTATCTTAAATCCCTATGCAGTGAGGCAACTTGGTGCTTTTAGGATGGAATATTTTTAACATGTCATAGATAAAGAAGTTAGGATAAGAATTTCTTCTTATTGATGAGGTCGATGGCTGCTCATTATCATGCTACGTGACAAACGCAATAATATGGGAATAAAACCTGTTGCAGACAGCAACTGAGGTTTTAAGAAGAATTTGTTTCACTGACATTTCATATTTTAAAACATTATTTCCGACAAACACATTCCACTTGTGTTTGTACGGTATCTTATAATTAATACTTAGTTTTTGTACATTTTGAAACAGAAAACTTAGACGGGCTTTACATAAGCGTATCTATTTTCCTTGCTATTCAATAACCATATCATATTGTAAGTAATAACTTATTTCAAATAATTTGTATGTGGCGTAATTATGCATGGTAACCGGAGGAATGAATGCAAAGTTTAGCTACTCATCAGTAGATGAAGGTATTCACTGGCATTCAAACGACTAACCAGGTCATTGACCAATTACATTTCTGAAGATCTTTGGATGCCGCGAAATATTTTACTTCAAAGTATATTGATTAGACAGCAGTTTAAGGAAAGTGGACTGGTCTACAATTGACACATTATCCGCTAGTATTTTAATAATTGATGAATAAATACTATTTGCTTATAAATCGTTGCAAACATAATCATTTCAAAGGAAAATAATAGTGCAACGTTATAATGTTATTGATGACAAACAAGGTAGATCAATTAGTCTGAATTGAATAATATAAAACTTACATAAGGATCTGTTGCCTACTTTTTAAATTCGTATCTTTATTTTCGGTGCTAGAGGGCATGGACGTAAGTTTGCATTAACCAATACCGTACATGAAAAAGGTATGCACCATTTCCGAATTTTCCGTGTTAGGCGTCGTTATGATTTAAGGACCGCAGATATAGTTGTAAATAATGCAAATATATACAATGGAAAGATTTCTTTAATTCGTGTTCGAATTAGTATTCGAGTTCATATTCTGAACGAGAAAAGTTTAAGTGCAAATTCTTTTTAAAAAATAACATATTATTTCTTACCGTGTGTTTTTGTAATATAACTAACTTGATACAAAGCATGAATAATTTATGAGAGTTAATCTCCACTTAAAAGAATGCCAATGTCCGCACGCATGACTTATATATTAGCGTGTTAAGACAAATGAAAAACGTCTTATTTTCAAACGATTGATATTATTTATCATTTGACACCATTGTCCTTTGCAAATGTTTGTTCTTGACTAACAAAAACATTAAGTGAAATATGCTATGAATGCGTGACTTTCCATTGCTGTAAAACAATACAGTCATTGCATATTTGGTAATATTCTGTTTAAAAGTTCAAAAATGCAAATATATATATTAAAAATGTTCACGAAATTGTATGTAGTTTTAAAAAAACTACTCCTCGTGTTAGATTTAATCTTAAAATTATAATCTTTAAGCTAAAACAAGGAGCAAACAACCTCAATATTACCCAGCCTACAATATTCTTTTCCCAATATTATACATAATTTGCCTAGGTAGTAGGATTTGTTTAAGCTATCATCGAATACTTCTGT